CCCCTGACCCTGCCTCAATGAGACTCGATCCCCCGACCCTATCCCAATGAGAGTCTTAATCCCTCCACACTACCCCAATGAGAATCAATCCTCTGACCCTCTTTGGTTGACAGTTGATCCCCTAGACTCTGTCCCAAAGAGAGTCAACCCCCCCCGACACTGTCCAATGAGAGTCAATACCCCTGACCTTGTCCTAATGAGAATCTATCCCTCCCACACTCTCCCAATGAGACTCGATCCCCTCCACACTGTCCCAGTGAGACTTGATCTCTCAACCCTATCTCAATGAGAGTCGTTTCTCCCCAACCCTATCCCAATGAGAAACGATCCCCCAACCCTAAAAAGGAATTGATGCACCTGACCCTGTGCCTATGAGAGTCAATTCACCCTGAGCCTGTCCCAATGAGAATTAATCCTCCCGACTGTCTCAAAGAGATTCGATCCCATGACCCTGTCCCTATGGGAATCGATCAGTCCTGACCCTATCCCAATGACAGTTGATCCCCCCTGACACTGTCCCAATGAGATTTGATCATGAAGTAAATGCAGTTTGATTCATCCGCTTTACCTCATTCTCTGCTGTGCTTTTGCCTGTCTTGTCTGTTTAACTCGCTTCTTCTAATTCCAACCATCCTCAGCCATCTCTTTTTTTTTGTTGCTACTGCTTAGGATCCTCCCACCCTCCATCCATTCTAGTTTAAAGCATCCCAATAGTAACACTAGCAAATATCCCTTCTCCAAGTTTACTTGGACTTTTGGAAAGCTTTCAATAAGATGCCATATAAGAGATTAGCATGTAAAATTAAAGTGCATGGAATTGGGGGCACATCCTGATATGAATAGAGAACTGGATGGCAGACAGCAAGCAAGGAGCAGGAATAATTGAGTTTTTTTTCCAAGTGGCAAGCAATGGGGTACAATAAGGTTCGGTGCTTGGACCGCAGTTTTTCACAATATATATTAATGATTTGGGTAAAGGAACGAAATGTAACATCTCTAGCCTGCAGATGAGACAAAGCAAGGTGGGAGGGTGAACTGCGAGGAGGATGCAGAGATGCTTCAGTGTGATTTGGACAACATTGAGTGAGTGGGAGATGCTTGAGCGATGAAATGTAATCGAGATAAATCTGAGGCTATGCACTCTGGCAGCAAAAACAGGGTGGGAGATAGTTTATTCTCTGAATTGTGATAGATGATGAAAGGGGGAGGTGTGAGAAGAACTGGATGGCCTTGTGCACTTGTCGCTGAAAGTAAGCATTTCAGGAACAGCAGGCAGTGAAAGAGGCAAATGGTGTGTTGGCCTTCATAGCAAGAGGATTCAAGTACAGAAGGAATGTCTTGCTGCAATTGTACATAGCCTTGGTGAAACCACATCTGGAGTACTGTGTGCAGTCTGGTCTCTGTATCTCAGGAAGGACTTTCTGGTTATGGAGGGAGTGAAGTGAAAGTTTACCCGACGGAATCCTGAGATGGCAAGACTGAGGGACCGAATCAGTTAGGACTGTATTCACTTGGAGTTTAGAAGAAAGTGGGGGGTGGGTGATCTCATAGAAACCTCTAAAATTCTAACAGGACTAGACAGGGTACACACAGGAAGGATGCTTCCAGTGACCGGGGCAGGGGAATCCATATCCAGGGGGTGACAGTCTAAAGGAAATGGGGTGGGACTGAGATGAGGAGAAATGTCTTCACCCAGAGAGTGGGGAGCCTGTGGGATTCTTTGCTACAGAACACGGTCAGGGCTGGAACATTGAATGTTTTCAAGGAGTTCAATAGAGTTCATGGAGGTACAGGGATCAAAGGGTATTGGGGGAGAGAGAGAAAACAGAACTTCGATGGATGATCAGCCACGATCCTATAGAATGGCAGAGAAGGCTGGACAGAGCCAAGTGGCCTATTCCTGCTCTTATTTTCCGTGTTTCTATGGTGCCAACTCAAATCGAACTCAAGGACGTGGTTTCCTTGTTGGAGTTTGATGGCCACTCCGTCACACAGCTCATTTTCCCCACCCTTACCATGTGTCCCCCACTTGAAACAGTCCTTTAATCAATTGGCAGCTTGACTTTGCTATTCTGACGCTCTGTCCTCCCCAGTATGTAACCTGAAGCCTTCCCGTGTAAGTGCTTGACTCTCACCCAGCTGACTGCACCCCTTCGCTTTCTCCCACCCCTACACTGATACTGTTTGTCTATTTTACAGAAAGTATTCATAAGCTGAAGGAAAAGGCCAAGAAGCGAAAGGGACGAGGCTTTGGCTCTGGTGAGTAGCAGACCATCTTCCTGCGTTGACGTTTGAGGGGCTGATCGTGTGTACATGTTGGTGGGGGCTGTCCAGGAACATGGAGTGCATGTTATCACATTGCCGACCGGCACCTTATGAGGATGAACAGGCTTTGCAGCTTTGGGAGGTGCGTTACTCGCTGCAGAGATCCTAGGCTCTGGCATGTTTCTGGTGAAAGTCCCCAGGGTTGCAACCCAGGATTTGCACCTTACTATTTAGAGTTTGCGGCGCTCCCTCAGCGCTGACCCTCCGACAGTGCGGCGCTCCCTCAGCGCTGACCCTCCGACAGTGCGGCGCTCCCTCAGCGCTGACCCTCCGACAGTGCGGCGCTCCCTTAGCGTTTTGTCTATAAGTGTTTGCACTCTGAGTGTTGCTTCTTAGGTACTCAATGCTCAGTGGCGAGGCCTCTGGCAAGCTGTTTACAGTCCATCAGTGAGTTTAAGGAGGAGATTGGACTAAAAGCCTGATTAATTATCTTAAATTGGTTTTTGATATAATTGTTTGACACTCTTAGGACAGTTCAGTTTTCCCCAATTATTCAATCACATCTAATGTTGGATAGTATGTTCTTAGTTTTGGAAGCACAAAGCAAATGGGACTAGTTTAGTTTGGGAAAGGCAGTCGGCATGGACAAGTTGGACAGAAGGGTCTGTTTCCGTGCTGTATGACTCTCTAAGTTTACTGCTAGTGCGGTGCTCATTGGGAAAGTAAGCTGTGAGGAAGACACAGACAGGCTGGAAATGTCTAGATGTGACAGTTATGGCGGTGGAAGAGGAACTTTGATGTGGGAAAATATGATGTATTAACTTTGAGAAAGAAGAATCAAAAGCAGTCTTCTTTAAATAGTGAACAACTTGTAAATATTGCTTTCTCTGAGTGGTTTAGGTGATTCTGCATGAAAGACAAGGTAAATGTACTAATGGATCAAACAATTTGATTCATCCAATGGTAACAGCACAGACATAGGCCATTCAGCCCAACGTGTCTCTGCGGATCTCCTGCACTAATTCGTCAGCTCGCCTCACCTCCCCCACATTTTTCCCATGGCCATTCTCCTGGACGTCGCCATCATGCCCTTTTAGACTCAGCCACGGATTAACTCATGTTTGACAAAGACTTCCCAATACATCCGTGCGAACTAAGAGCAGGAAGAGGCCATTCAGCCACTTGAGCCTGCTCTGTCATTCAGAGTCCTCTACATTTGATTCCTCGACACTATTTTTCCATAGTATTCCCATATCCCTAGACATGGGATCATAGAATGCTTACAGTGCCGTTTGGCCCATCAAAACTGCACCAACCCTCCAAAGAATATTCCACCCAGACCGCTCTCCCATCCTTGTAGCCCTGCATTTCCCACGTTTAACCCACCTAACCTCCACATCCCTGGACAAGGTGGGAAATTTAGCATGGCCACTCCACCCTAACGTGCACAGCTTCGGATTGTGGGAGGAAGTGGATGCACCCAGGGGAAACCTGCACGGAGAGAACGTGCAAACTCCACACAGACAGTTGCCCCAGGGTGGAATCAAACCCAGGTTCTCGGCGCTGTGGGGCAGCAGTGCTAACCACTGAGCTGGCACGCCAACCCAGACATCTTGAATATGCAGGAACCTGTTGATCTCCATCTGGAATGTACTCTGATGGAGCTTCTGGGGAGAGAATTCCAAAGGTTCCTCACGCACCTACCCCCTACCCGAGTGAAGGAATTCTTCCTCATCTCAGTCCAGAATGGCTGATGCATCATCCTGGGACTCTGTCCCTGGTTCTTGTAGCTCCCTCCAACCTTAGCCCTAGGTGGGGAAGCATCCTTCCTGCATCTAGCCCCGTAAGGACTTGTTTCCTTCAATGAGGTCCCCTCTGATTCTTTGCAACTCTAATCAATATTGACCCAGTCCCCTCAATCTGTCCTCACAGGACATTCCAGAAATAAAGCTGATGAATCTCCCCTGTACTCCTCTAATCCCAGCCACACTCACGGGTCCCTCGATTCCCATTGCTCCACCATTGATGGCCATACCATCAGCTGCCTGGGAAGACCCTACATTCTGGAATTCCATCCCTAACAACTCTTCTGTCTGACTTTTGCCTTCCCTTCATTTGCTGCTGACGTGGACTGGGAACGTGATGTGCCACACCTTGTTGACTGACTGTCCTTTCTGCAGAGGAAGGTGCTCGTTCTCGACTTCGTGAAGACTATGATTCAGTGGAGCAGGACGGTGACGAACCAGGACCACAGCGCTGTAAGTGCACGGCCTGAGGCCTCACTGGACTTGGGGGTGGAGTTTCAGATGACCGTGTGTACAGGTACCCTCTGGACTGGGAGAATTTCAAATGACCCCTGTGTAGTGCAGGCTTTCTCCGGGCTGAGATGAGCGTGTTTGTGTGTAAGGAGGGGGGGAATGGGGCG